CTAGTCCGGAGTCACTTTGCTGTCTGAGCACACTCACTACAGATGAATGGTGTCCCGAGCTTTTCAAGTATATTTAAATAGGTGAATTATCTAATCAATGCTCTACCGACCATATTGTTTTTTTATTTCCTGATTTATTGATAATTGTTGATATTATTTAAAATCAGTATATACAATTTTTTTCTTTCTTTCTTTTACACAAACATGTAAAAGAACATAACATGCCGGTTAGCCACATGGGGTACAGATGCAGTTAGGCAGTCTAAATAAAAGGTTTGTTCTATAGCAGGGGTGGGGGGACTCCAGGCCTCGCGGGCCTGCAGGCTTTAGATGTGTCCTTGATCCAACACAGCTGATTTAAATGACTAAACTACTTCCTCAACATGTCTTGAAGTTCTCCAGAGTCCTGGTAATGAACTAATCCTTTGATTCAGGTATGTTGACCCAGGGTGAGATGTAAGACCTGCAGGGACACCGGCCCTCGTGGACTGAGATTGGGGACCCCTGTTATACGCTCTTCTTTTCCAAATTTGCTTCTACATCTGTCAGAGATGACTCATTTTTAGTCGTGTCAACTCTCTCAACAGTTCTTTGTTGTTCATACAATGGAAAACTGGCATCACAGGGATTAAGTCCTGCTAGTTTACTTCATGTTACAGTAGCTCTCTCAATAGCAACCAGTGTAAAACTGAACTGAACTGAATAAATATCCCTGCAGATGAGCCCTTTGCCACTGATACCTGATCGAGAGTCATAATCAAGCTAATCATAATCATAATGGAGAGAGGTACGAGAACAGAGCCAGGCAGCCAAAAACAAACTACTGCAGCAGGAAATGACAATCCTGTCTGAAATATGAGCGTACCTGCAAAACTCGACTCATCCACTGAAAGCTGTCCTCCTCAGTCGAGTCCGGCCGCTGCTCAGCCACGACCACGATCCTCTCATCATGGAGCACCGTGATGGAAAACACTGCTATCCTGCAGAACACACAGAATTAGCACATTTCATTGCATGCAGTTTAACTGCGCTCCACACAGCCAGCCACCAAAATGACCATAAAGTCCAATCAGCAGCTTATAATATTTGTGAAGGGGCGGATTTATAGTGGCGCTGCTGCGTTAATGTGTTTGAACCACATCTCCCTTTTGTAAATTAAACACAAGCTCCACAATAACGAGAAACAACCTGCTTAGAAATTAAAGCAATATTAACGCTTACCGTCCTCTGTAAACGAACTTCATGGGCTCCACAGCCAGCGCCGTAGCAACAATGTCGTCAGCATTGTGCCGACGCCCACCGACCACCATCAGACCGTCCATCTTCCCAGCAACAAAGATCAGACCTGCAGGTCCGATGAATCCCAGCAGGCCGGTCCTGGTGAAGGGGAACTCGCTGATGGGAGTGCCGTTGTTGGACACGGGAAAGACCTGCAGAGGTTTTAAAGACACGACATGTAAACAAAACGCACACAAGATAAATAAACAACCGAAGCATTCACGCTCTCACCTCGAACGTGTTCTTGGTCATACCGGCCAGGCCGTAATAGGAGGTCCCCGTGGCAACAGTACAAACGCACATCTCTCCGATCTCGTCTGTTTTACAGAGCTGGGGAACACCTTCGAGCTTCACTACACACATCAGACCTACAGGCAGAAAGACAGACGCTCTGGGAAATCCATTCTTACTGGTTACAGTGTCGTCTTACAGCAAAGTTAAAATAAAAGTTTTAACTATTCCCAGACTTCAAATCAGGTATTTGTAAGGCAGGTATTTCCTCCTCCATCTCCCATGCACGGAGGAAATACTCCGTCTCCCATCAGGGAAAGGAAACCGTTTTCTCTTGTTGACTAATTTCGTGATTCTTACCTGCAGAATGAAGTAAGTCAGAAATAAGGACAACAGTGAGTCTCTTTTTTGACCTTAATGACCTTAACTCTACCTTTAAGGTCTTAATTAAGTGCATCAATACCAAAAACGTATATAACTCCTTAAAAACAAATCCTGAAACCATGCAGTAAATAAATAAAACACGCAAAAGTCTTGCGCAGGTTCGATAGATGTAAAAATAAAGTAAACAATCGCTCAGAGTCATGATGGCATCATGCTGAAAGCAGACTACTCTTTGGCTTTAGCGGACAAACGTAAATTATATATATACATTAAAAACAGTATCACAACTTCAGCAGTGCTCGGTTCAAACTCTGCTTTTTGGACATCTGTCTCACCTCCGGGCATGACGGAGCCGACGTCCTGCAGCGTGAGCACCGACAGCTTCTCCTCCGAGTCGACCCGGATCACGCCGTGACTCAGACCCTGCATGGACAGGATGCCGCGACCAGGAGGGGTGGTGCCCTCCTCCAGCGGCCTGCAGGAGGGACAACACAACATTTATCAGAAATAAGTGTGTTTAAGAAGTAAGTAGCTACAAATTCGTTTTAGAGTCCAGACACGTCTTGGGGAAGTAAAGACAGTCCAGGGAAATAACCTGAAAATCAAAATATCATGAAAATAAATGATATATTTATGACACAAGAGCATTGATGGAAACATTTCTAGAGTCAGGAGACTGTTTAAATTATGGAGGCAGTAAAAACTATTTTGGAAAACTGACATTTTCAAAAACGGTTACATTTGGGGCCATTTTTGAAAGACTGGACCTCTTTGGAGGCTGTTTTCATAATTCAAGCACATTAATGGAAGAAGAAGTTTTAGGAAGTGCAATTTAAACGTTGCAGTACTTTAACAAAGTCAAAATACTTCAGCGACGTGAGGACAGCGACACGTCTTTTTAGAAAAGAGGAAGCAACTTCAGTGTTTTTAGAAAGTGTGGACAGTTTAGGGAGGAGAGCACTTACTCTGTCCCCAGTCATTACCAGGACATTTTAAGGGTAATTAAGTTTAGGCTGAAGTGAGGATTAGAGGCTATGAACTGCTGTGTGTCAGTGAAGGTCCTCACAAATACCATATAAACATGTGTGTGAGTGAAGTTTAAAGGTTTTCCTCTAAACACAGAGCTCATAATCCCCCACACCCAGCGAGGAAAAGCTCTTTATTAGCACACACAAGCAGAGATGCAAACACTCAGCCTCAAAGTGTTTTAATCAATAAAAAAATGAAAAGCCAACATGTGACTGGCAGCTGCTCTGACTGTAAATGTGGCGTTCAGAAGTTAAACTACAGACTGGATGATTAAAGAGGTGGAAGTGTAAGTTTAGTGTTTTAAAACCTATGAAACTGTAAATTTAAGGTCATAAAATAGTAAAAAAGGACAGTGGAAGGAGGTTAAAGCCATTATAAAGTAGAAATAACTCGCTAAAAGTTTGTCTTTAAATGCTAGAAAGCAAATAAATTTGTACTAATTATATCTGTGTGTCTTGTGGTGAATACAGCTGAAAAGAGTGTGTGTTTGTGTGTGTACCTGCGTATAGCCACAGTCAGCGCCTCGGGGGAGCTGGCGCACGGGCAGATGACCTCCGGCTTCAAACCTTTCGTCTGGAAGACGTTGAGGAAGGCGTCACAAGACGAGATCGACCCTGAGAGACAATCAAACACTTAAAGGCTTTTTGCGAAAGCAGAGGCGGCTCATTGCTGGTTTTAATGATTACTTCTTCATTTCCAAGCTTTTAGAAACTAACCAATAAAATAAACCAGTCACAGATCCAAATGTAATCTTTTACGCATCTCTTGTTAACTTTTTTGAAAAGGATCTAAATAAAGAAATGTTTTTCACTTAAACAGGGCCCTGCAGGTGTGAGTACACGAACAATCCAGCAGCAATGTTTTAGGACAAACGCCTCTTCAGCTCGTCAGTCATTTGATCTGAACCCACTAAAACATATCTGGAATAAGAGCGCTCAGAGAACACAGGGTAAGGCCTACACTAACTTTGATGTTTTATGATGTTTTTCATGCCCTTTTGTTTGATATGGCTTCTAGATATTTCTTCTGAAGGTCAACTTTGACCTCGGACACTAACAGTGAAGCTCCCAACTCCTAAAAAACCAATCTTACATCACTAAACATTATCAGTGTACAAATAAATGTGAGTTGGATATTTAGCAGGTAAAGGAGACACTTTAAACATATGTTAAAAAGACTGTTAGCTTACAGGGATTTGAACCATCAGCCACCACAAGCATCCGCAGGGAGCTCAGATTGACATCCCGCTGATCCCGGTGGGCCACCAGAGCCCAGTGCATATCCCGCGACTTCACACAGGCCACCTTAGCTGGAAATAAAACGTCGCCGGTTCAAATTACTGCTGTTAAACGACTGAATTTGTCATTTCAAACAGAAGGAGACTCATCAGATATGTTATGTCACCTTTGTACTGGCAGACTTTTTGGATCCAGGACAGCGGGTTGACCTTCATGAGGGCGTAGGGAATACTGATGACGTGCATCATGTTCATCACACTCTGACAGATGCACACAGAGACACATTAATAGAGATGAAGATGTGCAGAGTTAAAGAAGTGAAACGGACAGAAAGCTGATTATTTTCAGCTCAGATTTACTCACATACTGTACGTGAGTACTTGACCTGAGTATTTTCTTCTCAAAGGCACGTTACACTCCACCGCAGCTCGGAAAGAAATGCTGCTTCCTTTACCGCACTGCATTAATCTGACGGCAGAGAGCCGCTGAACTGAGCGAACTGAGGCCAAAAGTCAGCGCGCTCAGGTTTGTTCTGCCTCTGGTACCCGGATGGTGTCAGATTTGGCTTCATTTTAGTCTGGCTAAGACTTCGAGGTGCACATTAAAGCCAGACTGGGTGGAGAACTGGTATTTATACCGTAATCACAGCTGGACTGAATATGTGCACGTGTGGTGGATCGAAACGGGGTAAGATGCAGAACTTCAGCACCAGGAGGCGGAGGAAAGTGTAACTGGGCAGTAAATATATACATTTAAAATTAATTCATATAACAACTGCAATAAACACTGTGAACTGGGAACTTTTAGTAATTTAAGTCATGTATGTTATATAAGTTCTGGGGCACAAACTAGCTTTTTAACTGTAATTACATTTTTTTTAAAGTAAATTCATATTTGAGGCAAAGAGTTTGTTTAACCAAACTATCGTCTTGGAATTGTAGTTTCATACAAAAGTTTTCTTACTGTCTGGATGGCGTGCCACAGTCCTACATCCTTCTTGAAGTCTAGTACATTCACAATGGTCTCAGCTGAGAAACAGAAACAGAGCAAGTCAAACTTCAACATCTGAGCGTCGGAGAGAAACAGCCGACCGTAGCAGGACAGCAGCGCTGTTCAGAGGTTTAATCAACAAGAGCAAATGTGTGTACTACCTTCTGTGTATGAGCAGGACTGTGTGATGGCCTGGCAGTGCGTGAGCATCGCTATCCTCATCACCGTCACTCCGAGGACGCTGCCGTCCTTACACGTCTTATACTGGACAGACAGAAACAGAAGCAGAGTGACGAGGCGGTTTGTTCCCGCGTGCGTGACGATCGTCGATACACAAAAATTCCACGAACGAGAGCCAGAGTGGAAGCACCAAAAACTGCAGTTCCTCGAACGACCGCTTCCCCCACAGACTTTTTTCCCCATCTTTTATTTACAGACTGTGTTTACTTAAAGTATCTACGAGACCCAGAACATCCACGTCCATGTTTCAGTTTTTTAGTGGAGTCAAATTAGTGTCTGCAGCTCAGTCAATAAGCAATTTTTTAAAAATATTGATTGTTAAATTTAAGGCTTTTTTTTTTTTTTACACTAACTTCCCAAAAACTTAATGATGTCTGAGTGCTGTGCAGTGACAGTAATCAGTGAGAGTCTGCACAAAATAAGATCTCCTTTGTCTGAAAAGTCTGACATCAGTCGGACAAACGCACATTATTGGTCGCTTTTAAAGCTATGAATCATTTTGAGTCGTAACATTTTTCTTTTTTAATGTCACTGAAAAACTAACATTTCTTTTTAAGCCACTATAAAGTGCACCGCAGTACTTTCGCCCATCTCGACTGATTCGTGGCTTCTGTTAAAAATAAAAGGTCATTTTTCAATCGTCCGTTTTCTTTAATCATTTTCCTTTAAGCCTTTTTCAATCTGCAGAGCAATCAGGGAGACATTTCACCTGGCTGCCCGTGCAATTACTAGAGACGTTAGATTCAAATCAATCAGACAGGACGACAGGATTGAGCGGCGAAGCGTCCACCGAGCTGTGGTGAGATTCTAAGCTGGAGGACGTGTAGCAGCATTGATTTCACGACTGAAACAACACGGGTGGAAATGTTTTGATGCCCTGACGAGAACATGCATCTGTGTTTCTGTCATCGTTTGAGTTACCTCGATGTAGGCAGTGTCCTGGTTGGCTTCCTTGATGTGTGGGAACCAGTCTCGGGGTGGTTTGGAGAGGTGTTTGGACTCCATGACGAACCACATCACCTTCGGCCAGCCTGAACGCCCATGGAGACAAAACAAACATCCCTTTAACGTTCACGTGTTGCTGGTTAAAGGATTATTTTACTCCACTTAGCCTTTTTTTTTTTTTTTTTAGAAAAACATTAACTTTATCCTATTATTTGACTATGAAAAGGAACAGAAAGCAACATGAATGCTTTTAGATTTTTCTCTTCGACAGAACTGAAACTTTGGACTTCACTGCTTTGCTGCAACAGCTGCTGACAGTGCAACAAGGTTTTATTTACACGAAGACAACAAATATAAAAATGCAGACAAATTATCCATCGATCTTCCTCTGGGGCCGGGTCACAGGGGCAGCAGCCTAAGCAGAGAAGCCCAGACCTCACTCTCCCTGGCCACCTCCTCCAGCTTGTCCAGGGGAACACCGCCAAGGCATTCCCAGGCCAGCCGAGAGATATAATCCCTCCAGCGTGTCCTGGGTCTGCTCCGGGGCCTCCTCCTGGTGGGACATGTCCGGAACACCTCCCCCAGGAGGCGCCCAGGAGGCATCCTTGTCAGATGCCTGAACCACGTCAACTCTTCCATGAATCACTACCTTATCATGGTGGAGGGGTATCTGTGTCCCAGGGACCCCAGGGGCTATGTTGTCGGGGGGCTTTTGTCCACCTGGTCCCCTGGTAGGGTCGACAGGAAAAGAGCGATTCAAGAGACCCCCTATGACAAGACCATTGAGGGAACAGTTCACCCTGCCCGGGATAGTGTTACCGGGGCCCCGCCCTGGAGCCAGGCCTGGGGTGGGTGCCCGAGGGCGACCGTCTGATGGCCGGACCTTAGTCCATGGAGCCTGGCCAGGTACAGCCCGAAAAAGGGACATGGGCCCACTTAATGAGAACTAACAGCAGAATGATTCCATCTTATTGCCAATTTATCACCATCTCGATGCACCAAGACGGCAGCTGACTGTGATTGGTCGCAGTCCACTCTGTGGTCTCCAGTCACTGTTACTGTAGCATAAGCTAACGTGGCTAACGTCAACACCGCACAAACCAATATGTGACGTCGTCCCACACATGTATGTAGTGAGTTACAGTGTGGGCTGCAAACTGAGCCTTATTCATTGAGTCATGGAAAACTGAGAATGCTGAATAATAACTTGGCACAACTGACAACTATCACAGAGTTTGTTTGAGACTGAAGTCATAAAACAAACAAACAAAAAGTTTCTCAGTTCACGTCTCATTACTCTGCTGCACCTCATCTCTTAATTGTCTTTGCAGATGCTTTAATTCAAAGAGACATAAACTCAGAGTCAGTGTGTGATTCATTCTGGCATCCTGGATGAGACGCAGATCAAATTACCAACCTTTAACGCTGAGTCGCAATCGCACCCGTTTGTGAATATAAGCAAAACAATAACGTGTGAAAACTTTGCTGCAAGAGCGACTGGCGCCCTCACAAAGACAAATTATTATTATTATGAGGATGTTTTTCTCCGTGCTGAGCTGTTGCACGGATGAAAACGAGTGAATGCAGATTGCCGAGTACATGAAGGCTGTTAATGCCTGAATTTACTGCTGCTGATTCTGCAGGGGAGCGAGACAGAAGAAACAATCAGAACGAGATGAGCTTATAGCCTGCTGATCAATAAGGGGAGCACTCCACTTTAATGACACGCACACACTAAATCCAGGCTGAATAAGGAGCAATAAAATCTGCTAGCATGATGTTGCTATTTATACATCCATTACTGCAAAGCAAACAGTGGTTATTAATCAGCAGGAGATTCTCTCTTTTCGTTCACCGCTAACGTCTCTTTTTCCTCCATCTATCACATGACTTGCATCCATTTTTCTCTTCCCTCAGTCGTGTCAGTTATTTTGCTATCGACTTGCATTACCACTTCTCTGACTCTCTCTCTCCGTCTCCTTGTCATCCATTACTCAAACCCAGCCGTCTGCAGTCATCAGTCTGTCCATTTATCCAACTGAACAGCGGGACCACGCTCTGAACTCTGAACCACGTGTTTGTCTGCAGTCTCGTTCAGCCAGTTTGAAAGTTTTAAACGCCGCATTGTCAGGACATCATGTTCAGTCCTGATAATTGCAAGAGTCTGGTGGTGGATTAAGATTTGAATTTGTGATTTAAATGAAGGTTATGGTTATTTTTTGTGGATTTGCGGCTCAAGAAATGGAAAGAGCTGAGAGGGAATTTTGTGATTGCTCACAGAGAGTTTGCTCGGCTCGTCTGTTTGCCAGTGAGATTATACTAAAAATCACTGAGGATCATTTCATAAATCTAGTGGAGATTTGGAGCAAAGCAACAAAACATGGACCACTTTCTTTAAAACTGCAAAAAGGAGCACCAGCTTTGGCAGAGGATGCACTTTTACCTTCACGATGTGCTTTGTTTGAATGGATTGTCCCACCTCCCTGCAGGGGTGTCAAACTCAATTTCACCGAGGGCCACAATGAAAAATGACAATCACATCCAGACCCAAACACATCTGGATTTAATTCATTTACATGTCACACACAGCAGAAATCAGATCAAACAGTTAACAGAAAAAGTGAAACCCTGACACAGCTGACCTGCAGGCCTCATGTTTGCCTTAAATCAGGGATGTCAAACCAGTTGCCCACTTTGGCCTTAAGTGGGTCAATCTGTAAAGACATTTACTCACACATCGAATCCTTCAGCTATCTTCATATATATAAAGCAAAGTGTCGTCTTAATACTATGTCTCAGTTGTTTTCTCGACGATAAAGAAATAGTGATGTAGTAAAGAAAAAAATCTGTCAGGACGACTCTTTGGGTTTAAGCTTTAAGAGATAAATGTGTGAAATTACACATTAATTAACAATTAATTGTTTATCTATTATTTAATTACTTTAGTCCATGGCCATGAGGGAGGATTTTATTAGTAAGAAAAGCTGTAAAAATACAGAGAAGTCGGATTGAATTCGTTGGAGGGCCAACTCTGGTCCCCGGGCCTTCTGTTTGACACCACTGCCTAACAACTTTAGGTTGTCCCGATGTCTTTTTAAAATTATTTGAATACAGTTGCTTTCTAAATGGATTCTTTAAAATAATGACGCGTTTGAAAAACTCAAATTTGAGCAGAACTTGTCCTAAAAAGCAGGTTAAAGATTTTTAATGGTTTCGGTTAAAAGTTGCAGTTTTTCTGCATATTTCAAAAGACGGACGCTGATTTTATTTCTAAACTACAATCCCCACTGCAGTCTAGATTTATTCAATACAGGATTAAAGATGCATGTATGGATGTTTTTACGAATAAATTTCATGTGCCTCTGACCTTTGAACTGTGGGATCTCTCCAGTGGGACTCTTGGGTAACCCTTTATGGCAGGCGTCACTGGTCAGAGCTACAGTCACTCCACAGCTCCCCAACAGAAACCCAATCTGCTGACTGCCGGCGTCCTGCAGAGAGACAAAGACCATTGATCTGTGAGTCATCAGCAGGATTGGAATCAATGTGTAAGTGCTTTGTGGTCATCATCAGCTTCTCTGTTCTATAAGAGTCATGAAAGGGGAAATCTACAGTGCTGATTATGTGAAATTGTCAGGTTCGCTGGTTCAACTGTGATATTATAAACTAATTTCTACATATAAGAAATTATTCCTGAAACTCCCAAGAATGATTTCTTTTACCTTCCCCTAAAGCTCACTGCTTCCTCTGCTTGAAATCAAGCTGCTTTTAACGACTCTGAGGCAGTTACATCAGTCTGCAAATGTTACGTCTGCTCTTTGCCTTCTCTGTTAGACACAATATTCATACCTTTATCTGAGATTTAGCCTCAAAGTAAGTATATAAGGTGCATCTTTCATGATGCAACCAATGCTGATTAAGCTGCTGCCTAAGTTGGACAAAGCACAAAGGAGATCTCAGATCTCGGGAGTCCTCTCTTCCTGGTTAAGCACTGAATAGCAAACTTTAAAATGCTAATTAGTAAGTGTAGGTGTTGCCACAGTGAGATAAACAGCTCCCGCTGGGTGCAATAGAAACATTGCTAATGAAATAAAACAGCAACAGTCAACGTGAGAAGATGGAAAACCGTGTGGGAAAACACGATGGAAACATGGCGTTTCTGTCGGTTCCTGCTGCTGTTTCCTCGTTGCTCACTGCAGATTCGATGCACGTCATAATTTACCTGCTTCTCTGTAAACAATCAGCCTGACAGGAAGGTGTAGTGAAGTGATCACTAGGCTGATCATCAGAAATCCACACTGACTACGAGACTCACACCAGCCCTCCTGGTTCCTCCCAGAGGATATTACAATGCGGAGCTACGCTCAGTCCAAACGATGACTCAAACAAATGTACGGCAGCAGCAGCGCAGTCGCTTCTTCAGAGACATTTGGCTCTCATTACACCTCAGCTCAAAGCTCAGCGGCCTCTGTGTTGAATCACAAAGTGCCTTCCAATGACTCATGTTTTCAGTGCTATCCCCCCCAGTGTTGCATTAGCTCCACTGACTGGTGTGAATTAGCTCTGCACGACTCTGCTGCACGTCCTCTGTTCAACCTGCTCATGCAGCTTCACTTCAGAAAATAAGACGACATTTAAATAGAAATGTTATCAAATTGTTCTTTCAACAATAGAAACTCCTCATTGTCAACCTTTAATGACCAATCCCCTCCTCATGATATAAAGCAGAGCATGTCTGAACCTGTGTGAATTATTCTTGTTTTCTTGGGTATTTGGTAATCTAAGAGATTCGAAACAAACTGCAAGGTACCTGATAACTGAGCACTGCAGACTGGTAATCCAGTTACCTACAGTTCAGCTCGGCATGGATCCTTTTCTTGTTGAGCAGCAGCCAAGACATTGAGCTTTGTTGTGGCCTTTATATGCAAACATCCTGTGCCTGAAGACAGCGCACCAGCACCACCGATGCAGTGAAAGTACAGCAAAAAACAAATGGTGTGCGTCACATTTCCTACTTGATGAACTGCTAAAGCTAAGAAGATTTTATTAGAACAAGTCAATCCCTTTTGCTGTTTGAAATCAATGCATGCAGTAACCTGGACTCTCACACCAGCTATGAAGCCATGAAGAAATCCAAAACCTCCTGTCAGGATCGACTTGAACTTGAGCAAAACATGTGGAGGGGGTGGTTATCCAACCTTCAACCCCATGATTAGTTTACAGCCTCCTTTTTGTTAAAATAATCGCAAGTACTATTGTTTGAGTACTTGCGATTATTTTATTGTACTTTTTATATTTTACATTTATATTTATTATTTATCTTGCACCAAGGGAGTGGCACTCCAATTTCGTTGTACTCTGTACAATGACAATAAAGGCTATTCTATTCTAGATGCTGTTGAGGAGACATGACACTCAAAGGTCCACGAACGCTCCCTGAATTCTGAACTAGATCCCCGAACGTGACGCCATTAATCATCGAGGAAGCCTGTAGTCACGGTGGCCCGTTAACACTGCTATTGGCCACACAAACATTGGAAATCACATCGCACCTTTTCAACAATCCCCGTCTGAACAGAAAATACTGCAACAGCCAAAAAAACTACTACATCAATGATCTGACCCTTAAACAGCTTTACAGTCTTCAGAACCGTCCATACTAAGAAGAATTGAGGACTGCATTATTAAATAAAACAAGCATGGGTGCAAAAAATAATAAAAGTTACTGTTTTATTAAGGATACTGCTTCCATTTCTTTTTAATAAACAGTTTATATCCAGTTTTATGTAAATTAGTATTAAGGTTTCTTCTACTTGTATTAAACTGCAGTTTGCTGGCTGGTGTTTTGCCTTTTTTTTAATATTACAAAATACTTTTCACCATATAGTAATATTTAACGCCCACATATTTTTCACTATTCCTTAAATTTTAATTAGACGGTTTTCCTCTTACCTTCCTGGTCAGCGGTACTTCTATTGGCACAGGAACCACCTCAGCCAGCAGGCAGCCATAGAAGGCTGTCATGAAGGAGGCGGGGTCATTGTTAGGGAAAACTAGCGCCACCTACAGGCAGAATGAGACATAATACATGTGTTACAGATTAAAACGGGAAGAAATCTTTGGAAATTTCAGGATGGACGGAAAGTTATGATGTTGCCTTGATGGTTAAAGCAATAAACAAAAAATATTTGGTTATTCAAACCAAACCAGGAGTTACATTTAAACCAATCATAGGCTGAAATATCACATCTGAAAGGATTTCAGAGGTTTTTGTTTTACTTAAGAGAGAGCGCGAGACAGAGCAGACAAGGCAGCAACGAAGTCAGGAAAGGAGCATGTTTTGTGTCTGTGATGCTGGATGCTGATGGCTGATAGGAGCTGCCGCCAGAGAACCAGAGAAGAACAAAGCTGAATCATTTAGGGGGCATCTGGTCAACATCCCTCCCTCTTTCACTTCCTCTATTCCTCTCCTTCTGCTTTCTTTGTTCTGTTTAATACCTCTTCTACTTTCAAATATCTTTTACTTCACATTCTCCTGCTCACAGTCCTTCCTCTCATTCCAGTCGTCTGCCTTCAAACCTTCTGTTAGCACATTGAGGTTCAACTTAAACCTCTGAACTACTGGTTGCCGTTTTAAACAGCTCTTGTTAAAAACACACAGAATACACTAAAACTCAATGCTAAAATTTTAATTTCTCTCAGTAAACAAGCTGCACCTAAAGAAATTGCGCTAACGTAAATTTGGACAATTTCTCCTTTAATGCCATCACCTTGTGTCTTTCACTCCCTCGCAACTTTCTGACTGTGTTTCATAAGTTTGGTGACGTACAGTATTTACAGTACTAGTGCAAAGATACAAACTTCTCTCCACTATCGTGTCCACAGAGCATGAACCCATCAACCCGCTTTCTACGTCACAGCTAGGCTGTTATCTCGCGCTCTAGCATTTTGGTCCAGTTCAGCTCCAGTTGCATGCTGTGATGATAATGGTGGACCCCTGCTTAAGTTCTTAATAGCTTCCATATACAGTACAGTACACCACAAGAGTGGATGTGAGTGTGTTAATGTGTGTGTGTGTGTGTGTGTGGCAGAGAGTTGGCGGTATAAGCTAAGTGCACCTGAATGAATGACAGTGGTGTAATGATGCTTTAACAGGGCTATTGTTGACATGTGCACGCCTCATTGAAGCAGGTCAGGTTTCATTTGTAAACGACAGCCGAGAGATTCACGTTTTCTGCTTGTAAAGGCTGCAGAGTGCATGTCAGGAAACACTGCACGTACGTGAGCTGCCCACTTGTTTTCTTTACATCGCATATCTCAGTGTGACTTTCGTCCCGTCTCCCTCTCCCACAGCAGATGCCGCCCCTCCCCGAGCCTGGCTCAGAGTTTTTCTTACCCACTTCCGTCAAATGCGTTTCTCTCTTTTGTTGTTAACCTTACAATTTAAAGAGTCTCGTTATTGTGATTCGGTGCTATATAAATAAAACTGAATTGAACTGAACTGCCATACATTCATGGAAATTCTTGATGCAAAACATGCAGAGCTATTCATTGCTTCATGAAAAGTCAGAAAGCTGGGCTAGAAGACTAGAAGGTACTGAATGAATAAAGAGGAATATCTGTCTGCAAATAGAAAAATGATCTCGGTGGGAGAACAATGTCAGAACTGTAAAGATGTGCTGTTGCACCAGCTTTCTTTGGTACCAAGTAAATGCTAAATTATTCCAACTTACATCTGATCCTCGTTAAGCACTCTTTCTGCAGTGAGGAAACCCGATCTCAACAAGACTTGCATAACAGCGATGACACAAAAAGAACGGCTCTAATGCAACACACTAGGCCATTAACTAGTTACATGTTGCAGCGTTGTGTTCTGTAGTGGTAATGGACATCACAGCTACAATGATGTTAATACAAGCATGGGTCCTTCAATTATCTGCACAATGAAAGCTTAGAAGAAGAAAAACACTTCCTGTGCACTTGTATACAATCAGGAATGAAATATGATACTTTTGTTATTATTGCACAGAAGGACAAAAGTGTGATGGTGAAGTTCAAACTGCATGAAATAACTGCATTATACTGCAAATACAAGTATCTGCACAGACAGCATGCTAACACAAAGCTAGTGAATAACCCAGAGCGGTGTTAAAGACGAGTGTACGCTGACCCCCAGCCCAGCAGCCAGAGCCTGGACTTCAATAAGTAAATACCTTTACCTGTTTCTACAGCACAATCACAGTGGAGATGGCTTTGAACCTCAAACTTAAACACCAGAAGAAATATCATATGCATGTTTTGCTTTGGAGGGTATGCATGTGACAAACATAGGGAAAAAAGAGAAATTCGGTGCAAATCTCAGACAATCCATCCATCCGTACTGGACAGGTACTCCTGAGTGCACCGTGCATTATGGGATTAACACTTCTCAGTTGAAAGTTCTTTATTGTCATTCATCATAAAACCAAATGACAGAACGAGATGACATTATTCAGGTCTCGGTGCTGGTAAGGATTAAAATATAGAAAGCTCTCATTAAAAAGTAATTTAAAAGTAAAGATCTAAGTGAATGTAATAATAAAAAAATAAAAGAAATTGAATTTAACGAACCTGATGATTGTGTGGTGCTCAGAGCCTCTGGGAAATGTTTTTTACTCCTTTCTCATTTTAGTTTTTTCACCTCTGTAATGACTCCCCCCGTGTCACATGACACCACAGCTTTTTAAAAAACTCATTTTGTATGAAAATTACTGCCATTTGATGCTCTTTGCCAGAGTTGGAGTCCGTTTGGATCTGCAGTCCCCTGCAATAATGATGTCATATTGAAAATGTAATTCAAAAACAAAACTTGGCACAAGAGGACTTGTTAAAGAGAAACCACATCCACAGTTTTATCTGATTCTTCAGCAGCATCATTCCCTGAAACCTTACTGAACTTGTTTCTCTGCACAGAAACACAAAACCTCTAACGTAATTTCATAAAGTAACAACTCCTTTATTGTTGCTCGCGTGTAATTAAATCTCATCGGCTTTCTAAACATTCTCCTGTTGAAACCTATTTGTTTAATCGTTCTGCAAAGCACTCTGCTCAGGTGAGATACTGAAAATATGCAGTGTAATTTCTCTAAAAGCTCCAGCAAAAATGTCTTCTAAACAAATTACAGGGGAAAGAATTTGCAATGTAATTAAACACACAGCCTTCTGGCTGAAAACGTCACACGCTGGCATGGAGCCAGTCTTGACTCAGTCTCCCACTGAGCTGGAAATTAAGCTTAAAATAAAGAAGAACGAGGGGCAAGAAGTATGGGTGTCACGTGGCAGCAGAAACATGTGGGAGCATTACTGAACCTTTTTCCACTTAAGCATGATTTCATGTGTGGAGGCATGTGGAGTGTTGGGTAATAGGGGGCTCTGAGCATGATGTGATGATTAGCATGGAACAGAAGAAAGGAAGCACAATGCAAGAGTCCATGTTTAAAGTATTAAGTAACCTCCATGTGGCGGATTTTGCATAAATCCTGAGAGGTGACGTCAACAAACTCTCTCGCTGCTTTTTGATTTACAAATACCAAAAGAAACAAAGCGGGAAGAGGCTGATGTTTGTGAGTCCAGCTCTTTATACAGGACGCTTCATAATAGCTCACTGGAATAACTTCTTACAAATATTATGATGTAGCATTTTTCTTGTTATAGAGTATTAAAGTGAAGCTGTAGAACGAGAGAGGAGAGAGGAGAGGAGAGGAGAGAGGAAAGGAGAGGAGGAGAGAGGAGAAAGGAGAGGAGGAGAGAGGAGAGAGGAGAGAGGAGAGGAGAGGAGAGAGGAGAGACGGGAGAGGGGAGAGACGGGAGAGGGGAGAGACGAGAGGAGAGGAGAGGAGAGGAGAGGAGAGAGGAGAGAGGCGAGAGACGAGAGGAGAGAGGCGAGGAGAGAGGCGAGAGGAGAGGAGAGAGGAGAGAGGAGAGACGGGAGAGGAGAGAGGAGAGACGAGAGAGGGGAGAGACGAGAGGAGAGAGGAGAGGAGGAGAGAGGAGAGGCGAGAGGCGAGAGGAGAGGAGAGGCGAGAGGCGAGAGGAGAGGAGAGGAGGAGAGAGGTGAGAGGCGAGAGGCGAGAGGAGAGAGGGGAGGAGAGAGGGGAGGACACGCACCAAAGGTTCTGGGTGGAAAAAAACTAAATTGACACATTTCTTTGATGGTGGAAAAAAAGGAATTGCTTCAGGAAACCGCTCTGACAGCTTCCTTGTTGATGAAAAGTGTCATATGCAGGAAAAATGTGTCACTTGTTACTGACAGGTCTGAACAAAACAGAAGGTTGAAAAGGAAAAATGTAATGAAACTGTAAACCA